ATGGACGCACCCACCCAGGGGTCAGATGGCACATACGATGGAGCACACGCCGACACATCTTCAATCCGAGGATTCGAGATGCAGTTGGGGATGATGGACGACGAGGTAACACCGCTTATGCTCGAATCCACCACAAGGCGAGCTGACCGGCCCTCAGCCAGCACGAGTCCCAACCGACCCAATGCAACCTGCGGAAACTCAGACTGAATAGCTTCGAGCGATGCATACTCGGAGATCCATTCCTCCTGCAGTTCTTCCTCGAGTAAGGCCTGAACGATATCAGGATGACTCTCGGCGGATTGCCAAGCACCTTCGCAAATATGCAATGCAGGGAGGACGGGCTCAGAGTCCCGCACGGGCCAATGCTGCGAAGGCTCAAGGGCAGAGCCAACACCCAGAGAAACCCCAGACTCCAACTGGTCGCAAAGAGAAACCTCCGAGTCATGAAGCTGAGAAAGCAGGAACTTCAGGAGCCTCAGACGTAAAGGTTGACCCGGAGCAACGAAGAGAAGATCTCTTCCTGCGAGGTCGGCGGGATCTGGAAAGCGTCGAAAATGTCCTGCAGGAATGGAGCGATCTCAGCTTCTGAAAGAGGAGGTGCTTTTGGTGCAAGTTGGAGATGAGAGGCGATGCGCAGGCACAGCCCCGTATTGAAAAGCCGGTGGGACCATCTATGTCGGAGATCGTGGAGCACATCTTCAGAAGGGGGCCGAAGCCAACATGCAGTGCTGGTGGTGCCGCCACCGTCCTCAACCCTGCAAGGATGCATGATCCAACCGGGATCCGACGGAAGCAGCGCGCGCCAATGTGAGAAGTCGCTACAGGCGCCCAGGTCGGTAAGGAATGGAGCACACAGTCGCGCCAACGATGAAGCTAGTGCATCCGGATACTCGGCAGTACGCCGACTGAGAAAGCCGGTCCCATCTCGTTTGCCCTCAAACGACACATGTGTGCCAGGTGCATGCGTGCAGATGCAGGCAAGATCCAGTATGCCGGGTTGATTGGAGACGAACATCCAAGATTTTGAGAAGGATGCACCAACCATACAAGAAGCCACCTGAGCACACAAGGGGGCCTCAGATTCAATCCAGCTCATCATGAGCGGATCATGAAAGGTAAGAGAAGATGCCGGGTTTTCAAATATAATCAAGCCCCCAGAAGCGCTGACACGAGAAAGCAGAATTCGAGTGCGATCGTGAAGCAATGCACTCTCCTGGAGTTGCGCAGAATCGTCCCAGTTCAAGTCGGGACGGCCGGTAGGGTGCTCGAAGTCACGCAGAGGCTTCGGACCACCTGGACGCAACCGCAAAATGCTGTGCTTGGAGCAGACGGGCGCCGCAAGAGCAGCACCGACCAAACCTGAGTCAGCAATGCGGCAAAGCAGATCGAAAAATGCATCGTCCAAGATGTCGCGGGATGCATCGATGATCAAGTCCACTGGAGGAAAGCAATCACGCCGCAGAGATTGAATGGCTGAAGTGACCGGCGCACGCGCTCCCGCAAACAAATCCAAGAAAAGCCTTGGAGTGGGAGAAGGAAGCTGGCAGGAGCCCAGTAAGGCATCCACCTTCAACGGTTCATCGCAGGGCTGAGCATGGGTGGATGCAGACACAGAAGGAGCCGAGGACTCGACCGCAGCCATTGGAGATGGAAGCAGAGCCCGTTGGCAAGGCGACAAAGGAAGCACACGCGGAATCAGGGTCTCTGGCGAGTACGCAAAATCCACCGGTGGCAGAGGGAATGCAAGTGCAGTCAAGGACGCCCCAAGCTCAGGATATGAGTCGATATGCAATGCAGCTTGCAAAGTGTAGGCCGCAACGACCACGTGCAGCCCCTGCGAGGGCAACACCTCGTGAGGGCAATCCCTGGCGTTGAACGCCACTGGAAGGTCAATGAACTGTGTCGCCGGGGAACCTTGGCCAGCAGCGGTGTCGCATGCCTTGGAGACACGCAGCTCACCCCCAGCGAATGAAGTGAGGGGGAACACAACGTTGGGTGCGCATGCATTCATGCTGTCCTGATGTCGAGGAGAGTGCACACCTGAAATAATGACAAAACTGGAAAAGAAATGGGTCGGGGCGAGAGCCCTGATGAGCCTGTTGACAGCACGCACAGACGAAGGATGGGAGACGCATAACTTGCGAGCACCCGGCTTGAACCGGA